CGTGGAATGAAACTTGTTACTACGGCAGTGTACTACTCCCGAATAAGCCGATAAAATAATTAGTAAAGAACGTAAGGTCTTCTCTTGCATCCATAAAAAATCCTTACCCTCTTCTCCAGCTTGTTTTCCGAGAACATCAATGCTAATCTAGTAGCTGCCGATTTTGTCCGCGCGAGAATAAGTGCGCCTGAAGTAGCCTAATCAATTTATATATTAGAAATCTTATTTCCCTAATGACATGATAATCTGTGTTAATGTATAATATATTTTATTTACCTAGATTCCACAAACCTTGTCTAATCTGTGTACGAGACGTGGTATATCTTGAGCATCATACTGTAAGGCTGGATTAAAAATAATAAAATAGCCCATTCTGACAATTGGTTTTATTCTGCACGTATCTAAACACTAACCATGTAAAAACCCATCCACGCTTTCATAAATTTTTGAACCACCTTGATAATAATTAAATTTTTACAAATTATTAAAATTCTACAAAGAAAAAAAGAACAAGATAATTTTTACCTTGTACAGCCAATCCGGATGGTTTATTAATAATCAAAATATCTTCATCCTTATAAATAACCCAGCTACGAATCTCCTGTATCTTCTCTTCAGACAAAGGCTAAATAAAATAATGACGCCAACAACGAATCTCGAATCATTAACTTTGAATAAATACACATGTATATAAGTAATACACATAAATATGCTCAACTGTTCTATCACGAGCAAGTTTTTTTAAAACAACTGTATTATATTTTAGTTCAGGGCACCAAATCGAGACTACATCATCCGGTTGTATACGATATGAGTTTAATGACGAACGCTCACACTCCTGTTTTGCTTCTTCTGCTCGATATAACTTGACCTACAATATTCATTGCACATAAACGATAATGTCTATTTACGCATAATAAATCTCCAATTCACACATACGTCTTTTTTCCGTATAGACATGAGAATCTTGGTTATTGGTAATCCTGTACGCTCACGTAAAAAATGATCGAGACGCTTGTTTTTATCTTCATCAATAGCATTATATTGATAAAGTTTGTATTCAGAAGAGTCAGCAATAACAGTAGGAACAGCATTACTGCTACTACTATTACTCTCAATATCCCGATATGAATCAAATCGTGATTTATCTGATGTTTTGTAAATCTCAGATACTACTTTAGGTAATTTTGAATTATTATTCCTGAGATTTCTCTTTTTTCCCGTGTATAATTCTCTTGAAGTTTTACGAGTTCCTTCCTCTCTTTTTTCTTTGAAAATATTACTTGATGACGATTTATCACGAAATGCCTTTTCTCTATGGGAACTCGATAATAGTGATTTTTGGCCTCTTTTTCCTCCTCTAAAAGTATCAATTTCATTGTTTTTTGTCTTGGAAAATATTATATTAGCGAAATGTAAATAGCGTGGAAGTGATGGAATGAAGTGGATAATATACAGGACTTACCAAATT